CTTTGGGCTTCATAAATGCTGACAGCATACACTGTAAAAACTTTCATCAGAAGGACTGTAACAGTACTTCTTCACAAGCTAGGTGTTAGCACTGGCCTCTGAGAATCAGTGCAATGGACTCAAACTGAGGTGACAGTGAAATCTTCTGGGTTTCCCAAAGCCTGCTTACATTAGTAGATCCTAATCCCTGTCTGCTGCTTGGGGTCTGTGGGTGACACAAGTGAAAACCAACTCTGCAGTGCTTCAACAAGAACTAAACGCTCGTTCATTGTGGCCAAAACATGGGCTGTTCTGGACCCAGAGTTATGCAACTGCAAGGGTGTTTGATCCTACCATTTTCCCCCTTTTCTTAGCTAGGATCAAATATTCTTAGAATGCCTCTGATGCCTGTTCTTAACAGGAAGAGCTTTACTTTTGAAAAATGGTCACTTAAAAGCAGCTTATTCTCTTTGTGGGTCTAACACACGAGTTCAAATGAAAATACTGAAGCAGTTTTTATGCAGCCTTTCTGGTGAGGTGGGGAGAGCAAAGAAGAGGCACCTCAAGCACTTGCATGTGTTTCTGAAGCCACAGCTGCTCTGTACTCGATACAGGTCCTACTGAGATCACGTACCATCTGGGGACTGGCATAGCCAGCCTGCCTCCGCCTGCACCAGTGATGTCCTCTCTCAGGGCTCTGTGCTTGGGGCTAGCAGTTGTTGGAAGCTGTTGCTGAGAGCAAGCTGAGAGCTTCTGCTTTCCCCACTGGAGTCAGATTTCAACTGGCTAGATGCCAGGTCACGGAAGGTAATCCGTTGCATTCACTGCAGTTTTCGACTTGTCCTCATCTGATATTGGAGACCGTATCAGTAGTTTTGCACCCTTAATTTGCAAGCGATTTGCAGTCCAAGTTGTGGGAACAAACAATTCCATGTGTGATTTAGAAAATGTGGCCTGTGGAGTCTATTTGCAGTAACCACAATAGTTAAATTACCAGCGTGATTAACTGTAAGAATGAATGTGCTTTCATAAATGCCAGAGCAATTGTTTCTGGTAATTTATTCCACTCCTTACAATATGGCTGCAAGAGTCTGAACTAGTGTTTTTCAGATAATATGTTCCATATTTTATAATGGCAATTTGAGAGAAATTTCTTCTTTCTAGGGCAATTAGATTATACTAATTTGAAGAACATTTTTAGTGTTCTTTATTAGAGTTTAGCAAATTGTGAATAAAATTATTTTTGGTGTAGGTGGACAGAGATGTACTTAGCAATAAAGTACCCTATTAAACTCTCTTGTTTCCACATCCTTTCTTTTGGTAGGATTAAAATCTGTGTGCATGAGGTGAGTGTGTGTTTTTTTTTTATCAGTGAGTATATCTATTTGTAATGCTATAAAGTTATAAGTAATGTTATAATGTTATAAGTGTATATGTTATAAAACCAACTCCCACTTTTAGATTGGCACTAGTTACATGTCTACTTCTGTGTTAGTGTCAGATGCATTCCCAAATTATTAATCTAGCTAGAGACTAGCATCACCTCAGTTGGGTTCATTCAATGGTATGTTTGTTTTCACAAATGTTTTGGGAAATGATCTGTCTTAAAAGAAAAAGAACAACTTTAAAACATGTTGTTGGTTTGTTCCTTTTGGGCTGGGTCCAGTACAGAATGCAGCCACACAAGTAGTTGGATTAATACAACAGAGAAAGTTTTAATTTCCAGGCATGAATTGGGGAAAACAGTTTGGATTTACTAGAGTGGTAAGAACTTCAATCAGATCTACCAGCCACAGCTTGGAAGAATGGCACCAAAGGCCATTTCTTTAACTACTTTTCATTTTCATTGCTTCTTTCAACTTTTAAAGTATTTTAATGCTGAATTTATGAAACACAAATTATGGATTACGTAAATACTTTCTTTGCTTTTAAATTGTTTGAGAAATTGTGGGATCATTTTTAGTTTATTACATTTTTCTAGGGACCAGTGTATTTCTAGTATTGTGAGCAATCAATTGCAGGTGCTTCTCATGTGTATTCTTACATACTAGTTTAGCCAAGTTTAATCTGAAATAATATTCATCTCTGAGGCAGTGGCTCAGAAGTCATGCCTGTGATCTGGGTCTTCTGTATTTCTATTCAGAATTGCCATTTTGCTGTTAAAAACTTCAATTCTTATTTCAAGAAGCCTCAATATCATTATTAGGAGCCTTATTGTTGAAAAGTCAGATCTTTCTCTTTTGAGACCATAGGAGAGCTCTGCTTGTTTTTGTTGAAAACTGGAAAATAGTTATTCATGTAACATCCTCTCAACCCTCCTTAAATTCAATGTTAAGGTCAAAATAATTAGTTTACCACCTATCCTTATACAAAAGTTGGATATACTCTGAGTGCTATAGCAAAGTTATATTTTCTCAGCTGTCCTTGTCTTCATGTGAACCAGCACACTTACTTCAGTTAAAATGAATGTGGAAAAGTAGTGCTTAAAAATAAGATTCAGAGAGAAGCTAAGAGTGCACATACATGCCTCTCTGAAGACTTGAATGGCAATTGCACCAGTTCTGCCTTGATTTCACAGTAAATATATGTGCAATGGATGTGTTGATTTTTTTTTCTGTGAATGTTCTGGCACAGTAAAGGCATACAGACTTAGAACTCTAATTCAGAAAAAAAATCCACCTTATTAATTAGTAAAAGTTACTGTATACTCCTTCACATATCATATATTCAAACACAGTTATCCCAAACCTCCAAAACTTTGAATGGTCTGATAGGAAGAGAGTGAAGAATCACGCAAGATGGAGATGTTAGATGGAGATGTTAGATTTGTATGAGAGAATTCGCGTTTGCAACAGCGAATGGAGAATGACCACCATCCAACAACACTGCATGAAAATGAGTACTTACTATTCAAAAGAGCTCTTACAATGGAAAAGTAGTATCCCTGAATGAAAATGGGGCTTCAGGAGTTGCGTTCCTTTCGCATGTAACTATGGCACAGTGTACCTTTTCTACAAAACTATAGCACATTTTTCTCCTGGCAGTTGTGTGGAAATATTTGTTTGATATGAGTGATTGGATTTTAGAACAACTCTGGATCTTACTGGAAGTCAGCTGCCAGCTTTCATTAATTTAATATAAATAATGAAACCAGCAGATGCTTGGAACAGTACAACCAAACAGAAATGCAATTATTGACTTCAGCCTTCATTTTTTATATGTCATGTTAGCCTTGTGTCTTTTTTATTTTTATTTATTGCACCAGATATTGATGAGCATTTTCAGAAGCAGATTTGATGTAGTAAAAAAATTATTTCACTCGGATACTAAATTCATGTGGGTAGTTGAAGTTCTAGAGGAAAATTATTACTTCACTTATTTTTGCATACTGATGAAAAGTTAATGATTTTAAGGAATGCGTAGAAGGCTTGTAATAAGCAATATGATTTGAACCACTCATGATACTTCTGTAGAAATGTAGAAATTCACTACTGCTGAATATAGCAAAGTTATTAATCTTTCTTGACAAGGGGCCAGTGGGTTTCGAGTTGGTTTCGATGTCTATTTCCTACTGCACTAAAATTCCCATGTTCTTTATCTGACCTAACATCCCTTCTGACTGGAGGGCCTGGGATGCTTCAGTTGACACTGCAGCCTGCAGGACAGAGGGACACTGAGTGTGGACATCAATGGTACTTCTCCTGTTCCCTGTCTGAGAGTGCAGGTCTTCTTACACTAAGCCAGCCCTTGTGCTCACATGTGCTCCTTGGGGTGTGGGAGTGCTTATCCCAGGACAATCCCCTCCCTTGCTTATTTGCTTTATCAAATCCCTAGAGCTTCACCAACCCCACAGGTCCAGCAGTTCTTCAGACCTCTGGTACATGAAGAGACAGAGAGGGTGGAAAGGGCAGCAGAGGCTACTAACAACTGCAGATGCCAGCGAGTCCCTAGGTATCCTAGGCTCTTGGATACTACTCTACCCTCATTGCATCAAGATTTAAGAATTTTGTTATTATTCGATGTCATGTACATTTAGAGTTATTGCTCTTCTGTAATATCAGTATGTCACAAATCACTGTCGGGGATATTGAACAAATAAAAGAAATTGGAATTCCTTGAGCCATTGCAAGGAACAGCATTTAAAATCAGAAATCGTATGGAGTGTCTGTCTTATTAATGAAAGAACAACTGAAGCTTTATTCCTAGTCATTTATCTGTTTACTTTTTGGGGTGGATTTTTTTGGTGATGCTTTCAATATATCTTCCAACTGAGTTCTTCATCAAACACTGAAATCCTACTGTATTGAGTATTTTTTTCCTTGCCTTATACCCAGGCATCTGTCACTTTGCTGTTTTTACAGCTAAAATTAAACCCTGCAAGCAGATACAAGAATTTTTACTCTTGGAGGTGGTAATAAAGTTTCATATTGTGCATAAGAGTCAATACTGTATTTTTTAGATAGACAGTTAAAGCAATTAGTTAAATAAGAGTGTGAGTAGAGAAGAAAGCGTGAGAAGATTCTTGATTTGTTGTTTACTATCCTCACTAATGGATATCTGTAACTTGATTTAGCAGGTAGCGACCAAGTGTTTTTAAATCAAATAATTCATCTGAATTAGAACATTCCTCAGACACTGCAGGTTTCGACATAATGTTGACACTTTAATTAAACTCCTAAGAGGGATGTGTTCATCCAGAGAAAACATTTTAAACACACTAGACTATGGATAGTGTAAATCTGGTTACCTCTGTGGGCAGACTTCTGTTGTGTGTATGCTGTCTGCCCTTGGGATGCAGGTGGTGACACAACTAAGGTCCTGAAAAAGGGATTTACAGTGCTGCTTGCCTATTATTAAAAAAATGGTAATTTTAAAATTGAAGTTCTGGTACAGGTCATTAATTTCTGGCTTCGAGTGTTTCTGCCACATGGAGTGGTGGTGTGCCCCCCGCAGTGGGGCTCCACAGGGCTGCCCAGCTGTGACAGCGTGGTGCAGTGGGGGCTTCTCTTCTGTCTCTGCAGAAGCAGGGGGCAAGAAGCTGCGGAGCACGGTCCAAAGGAGCACTGAGACAGGGCTGGCTGTGGAGATGAGGAACTGGATGACCCGTCAGGCCAGCCGGGAGTCAACGGATGGGAGCATGAACAGCTACAGCTCTGAGGGAAAGTAAGCAGCAGTTGTAACCGTGGTTACCTGATGTTTCTGCATGAAACTGGCAGTTAGACAAAAGTGCAGTGAGACCTGCAGGTCCTCTTCAGTCAGAATTCCCTTCATAAGCTACTGTCATTGATGGACCAAGCCTAAGTCTTTCCCTGTGACCAAAAGAGTCTCCCCTTGGTGAAGGAAGGATGAGGATTGCCCCATGAGAAAGGCACGTAGTGGGTCAGAGCATCAGCATATTGTGGGCAGGAGGGGAAGCAGGTGCAGTGCACTGGATAAAAGACAGAAAAGGACAGGATCTTTTCTGAAAACTCCATGCACATGTCTGTGCTTTGCAGAGCAAAGCATTTCCAGACCATTTCCAGGTGTCATTCACTGGGCTCAAGAGTTTTTCAAAGATTCTACTAATTAATCCTGAAGAAATGATCTGGGCAGAAGTATGAGGCTGTCATGTATCATGCTTTTCATAAAAGCCCAAGTTAAAGACTTCTGAGTGGTACGTCCAAGACATTGCACCAAAAAATCTTATTGTGGATAGATTTATTAGTGATATTCATAGCACTGGATGATATAACTGTACTGGGTGATACACCACCTACACTAGATGATCTATGTATATCTTCTACATCCAATTTGGTGCACTATATGCACTTGAGATGGTCATGTATTTATGGTTGGTCATTACAAATCTCATTAGTTCTCATTGCCTTGTAATGCATCACAGATAATTTATGGCAAGAATGTGAATTTTAAGTTACTTTAGTAATTTGCCACAATGGATTTCAGTTCCATTATTGAGTGGATGTCATTTTCAAAGGCATTTTTAACAAAATGTTTGTAATGAATGATGATTTTAAAAGGTGATTTTAAAAAATAATGACCAGTATTCAGTCTAATGTAATAATTTTGCTGGATGCATTTGACATTCAGCCATTGAGTTCACATTGACTGAGAAACACGAGCAATTTTACCTTCATGTAACTAAATTACTGGCAAGGGTATGTGTTAGTATCCTACTGAACTGGTCTCAATACTATGATAATTAATAATGGTCTTTAATATATTGGGAAAAGAGACCATGAGGGAAAAATATTAACATGGAAATTAGGTACAGTGAGGATTAGTGCTTCCTTCACCTGATCATTTATGCTGGAGGTTGTTAAACATTGTGAAGTTCTGAAAATTACAGTAATTGTGTGTAATCTTGTCAGTGTAAGTGCCTTGTGAGCTGTAGTACCAAAACCAAGTACAAATCAACTAGGAAAGAAAAAAGGATAAATACAAGTATATTTTTTTTTGCTGCTTTTTTTTTTTTTAGTTTGATCTTCCCTGGTGTGAGGTTGGCTGCAGACAGCCAGTTCAGTGATTTTCTGGATGGACTTGGTCCTGCCCAGCTTGTAGGACGACAGACTTTGGCAACACCGTCAATGGGTAAGCATTTATGTCCTATAGGTAGGATACAACTTACTGGGTCTGGTAATTAGAACATAAGAGATTATCTAGGTTCCAAGTCGTTATATATGGATTTCCCCTGTGGTTTTGAACATCTCAGTTAAGACCAAAACTATAACCTCAGTCAAAGCTGAATGTAATTCTGGATGCTTATTAAGGCACTGAAAGGGGCTTTGAAAAGTTCAGTATTTTATCTCTTCAGTTTTCCATCTTTAAAATGTGTCTAATGAGACCCATCCCTTCTCTGAATCACTTGATAGTATTGAATAAAAAGGGGAATCTAGGTGTACAGTATTTGTTGTTATTGTGCTCACAGACTTTCATATTCACAAGTGATCTTTTAATACCTTGTCTTAAACTAGAGGCATGGTGAAGAGATTTCAGGCATTTTTACAGAGCTGCTTTATACTAATTCCTTCGCTACCTTTTTAATCTGAAATGGTTAAGACAAAAAAAATAATAATTTGAAGTGATAGGGGCATGGGAAATGGGAGACAAGATGTTTGTTATTGCAGGGTTTTTTAACTGTTTACTAATGTAAATAGCAGCAAAGAGGATAAATATTAAATTATCTAGTATGTTAAAATCCAGATCATACTTATTGGTGGGTTGCAGATTATACAAGCCATTAAATATTCATCTTAGAAATTCCCATAGTTTTTAATTTATTTAGGTATTTCTGAATTACAATGCCAGGATTTCTCTTTGTTGTCTAGGAGATATCCAGGTGGGAATGATGGACAAGAAGGGACAACTGGAAGTAGAAATAATCCGAGCCCGTGGCCTTGTTGTAAAACCAGGTTCAAAGACACTGCCAGGTAAGGAAGAAAAATCGCAACAGCGTAATCCAACTAAGCCCCAGTTTCTGGGGCTTTACTGTTCAAGGTAAACTCCTTGCAAATTCACTTAGCAGATTACAGTATTGTAAACAGAAATGCATAATGTATTGCAATGACATACAAAAAAACCAACACTACTTCAAGAGGAAAGAAAATCAGACTGGTATCTGGGCTATGAGAAGACTCAGAAGTATTTTAGTAATAGCAAATGCATCCTTGGTTATGGCATAGAAAGTAAGGTATGTAATGAAGAGGTACATAAGATCTCTAGGGATGAAGAGGGAATCAACAAGAGCTGTGGAATAGCTACCTACTAGAAAAGTAGACCAGTATTTGATACTTACTCCTTATTTTATAATCTGATGTCCTGTAACACTATGTGAAAAGGACAATATAATCATATTTTTAGCAAGCTCTTCTGCTAAAATAGAAATTGTGTCAGAGTCTTTTTTTCACTCATTTTCACCTTGTGGATCATTTAAAATTATTAACAATTTGGAGCATTGATCCAAATCTCACCAAAGTCAATGCAAGTCATTCATTTACTTAACAAACAGGCCTATTTTGCATACTGTACAGTATAGGGATACTATATATAGGAATATGTGATTTTTTTTTCCAGGTCAGAATCTGAATTGTTTTATGATAAGAGAGATACAAAAAGATGTAAAGAAAAAATTGTACCAGGTAGAAAAGTAAAGAAAATGCATGGATTAGCATGTGGATAAGTGTTAACATTGCTTGTGAAGATTTGTTTGCATAAGTTACATATTCTGTAAAAGACAACTTTTATCATATGGTGATAGAACAGTGCATCTGTTATGCAAAAAGATCTCCACTTCTTTAATTGTCGTTCTTTATTTTCTTTCTCCTAAGCACCATATGTAAAGGTGTATCTATTAGAAAATGGAGTCTGCATAGCCAAAAAGAAAACAAAGGTAGCAAGAAAAACGCTGGAACCACTTTATCAGCAACTTCTATCATTTGAAGAAAGTCCCCAAGGAAAAGTTTTACAGGTAATTTACATCAATATTCTTCTGAATCTGAAAACATTACCTGCACAGTTTTCACTGACTGAATTTCGAACTTCTTTTCATTATTCATTTGGCAAGTTCTGCTATTTCAAATACTTGTTGAGCAGATAAATCCTACAGGAATAACTGCTGATGTGAGTAGAAAGTACTGAGCAAAAGTAGATTATTATGCTTCTGCTATACATATGGGCTCCGTCTCTCACTGGACTTTCTTTAGTGTCATGGGTAACTGCTCTGTTACTGCCAGGTCATCTCTGTGACTGCATCATGATTTAATGTACACAGAACTAAACTATGTCAGAAGTCAGATATGTCATTCCTTACTATAGTTAAATAAGCAGAGACATTTAATGAATCAGACTGAAGTTCGCATAATTTTTGCTGATTTTTTTTCTATTTTCTTGTGTTTCCTTTGCTGACAGATAATTGTTTGGGGAGACTATGGACGTATGGACCACAAATCCTTTATGGGAGTGGCACAGATACTTTTAGATGAACTGGACCTGTCCAACATGGTGATTGGGTGGTTCAAACTCTTCCCTCCTTCTTCCCTAGTAGACCCAACTTTAGCTCCTCTCACTAGAAGAGCTTCCCAATCATCTCTTGAAAGTTCAACAGGACCTTCGTATGCTCGCTCATAGCAGCTGTGAAACTGTTGTCATAGCAACCAGCGTTACAAAAAATAAAATTACAGGTCGCAAACCCTGGTAACACTGCATGCTTAATGTTGTGTCTTCTGAGCCTGTTTCTAGGGCTGCAAAGCGATCCTGTGTTCTCAAGGAAGTTGCACACATTGTGCCCTATGGAAGGCCCTCAGGTGAAAGACTGAAGTCATGAGGAACTGATAGGTTTGGAGTTCAGGGACACTCAGTTTTGGTCCAATCTGAAGCCATGGACTAAACTAAAAGAATCAATCTGTTTCATGCAACAAAAGTCCTTTCAATGGCATATCTGTTTTGTTGCTCCCATTTCTTTATTTATCCGCCCTCCCCTCCTAAGGCTTGGTTATGCCACAGAAATGGAGTTACTCTCCCATGAAGCCATGTTACAAGTGAGTGGATTAGCAGACATTGGAAGAAAAGAAGAATGTAAGAATGCTGGAGAAGTTGACTGTTGTTTGAAACAGTTGCTTGAGATCTGAAAACTGTACTGAAAAGGTTCAACACTTAAAAGTGGTGGGCTTCATACCTCCAGCTATAGATACAGTGAAACCCCAGATATGATGGACTAAAAAATAAAGTTCTGTGGATATACTGCACTGTATGAAATTAAAGAAACTTTTTGCATGGACACAGATTTAGCTGAACACTTAAATTATTTTCTTGGGGCTGCAACTTGCAAAAAAAAAAAAGAAAAAATCAGCCATTTTCAACAATTTATATTATTTTTAAAAATAAATTTCACTAGTGCATGGTTTTAAAGGGAAGAGAATGCAACAGGATGATGCAAAGACACACCACGTTTATCATTCTTTAAACCAGTCATGGTCTGTATTTTTGCAGACGTATATTAAAAAGAAAAAATAATTTCTAGCAAATATTTAAAATTCTGTTTATGTGACAAGAAATAAGTGTAATATATTAAATTTATTTAAATGTAAAAGGTACAAGCCTTGTAAAGTTCAACATAATGTGCAAATTGTATACTTCTTTTTCCTCCTCCTTTCTCTTATCTCTCCTCCCAGTCTCCCTTCTTCCTTTGACTCTTTTTTCCCTCTACCTCCCAGGATGATCATCATATTCTAAAATGCCTACCTTTTGACTTATTGTTAGTCTCTTATGCCCCATTTGGTTCAGGGTTGCAGATTGCTCTGCATTTCTGAATTATTTGAGAAAAATATTGTTTAAGAATGTTTTTTTTTTTCAAGCATGTTGAAAAGGATTTGCAACATGGCTTGGGAGTACATTAATGTAATTCAGCATGTATTTGATAAAGAAGATATTTGAACTTTTTGCAATTTATTGTACAGTGCATGGTAATTTATTTTCATTTTTTCTCACCTTCAAATTGAATTCTGCAGGAAAATACTGGAATCATGTGGCCATTGTAAGATGTCTTCAATAAATTTGTTTTCAGCACCAGCATCTTTCATTCAAAGGTTGAACTATCATTTCTTGAAGGTTTTTGAAAAGATGAAAAATGAAGTACCTGGTTGATCTTTAGGAAACAAATTTAAACACTTTTATTTGCACTAAACCAAATTGATAGCTACATTTTTGCAATTGCAAAAGCAACAAAGGTTGCTGATTTGTGCAGTTCTGCTGTAAAGTTCAATTTTCACAAACTACATTTGTGTTGCAAATTACATAATTAGGGAATATCAATCTGGAAAATATCAGTCTTTGGTTCATAAAATAGCCTTAAAGAAAGTTTATCAGTACTACTCTGACAGATGTTTGACATTTTTACCAGAACCCTCACTGCAGTCAATGGATCTTCAAAAACCTGGTGTTTGTAGCAGGCAGTAACTACTGTTGGGTGGTGCTGCAAGTTCAAGCTTCTCATTAAATTACATTATTTAAAGAGAATGTAACTGGCTAACATTTAATAACAAAATATCCTTCTTTTTTCTGGGTCTTTGTATGCCTTTAATACTATTTAAGGTTAAATGTTGAAACCTTGCAATAATTTTTTTGAAATATACATTACATTTACCTGTAAGGCCACACAGAATTATTCTGATTTTATTTGAAAATCTATTGAACTTTCCCATTAAGAAATTGTGCATGCCTCATACAAGGGCAAAAGTAATAACAGTATCACTTAAAATGCCTTTTACTTTGTGCAATATCATATAAATCAAGATTGTGTCTTGTCTTCAGAGTTTATATAATGGATTATTGTTAAGTTAATGGACAGACTGGTAAAATTATATTTATTGAAATAATTTAGACACCTGTCTACCATCAGCAAATAAATACTGCTAACATGCAGTCTACCGTATCCCCTAGGATATTAAACAAAAATTACATACTGTGAGATGTGCTTATGCATTCTTGTATGCATAGTCCTATATAAATTATTTCAAATTTTAAAATCAAGGACATGACGCATGAAAGGTTTGTACATACTTGTCATTATGCAGTATTTATTTAAAAAAAAAAATGTATTTTTTTTTTTATTTTCACATGTCTGCAACTTTACTTATGATTTAGTCATGTAAATAGCACTATTCCAGTGATCACTGCTGTCTTGTACATAGTACGTTTTAAAAAGTCAAAAGGAATTACAGTTGGGGGGACAAAAAAAAAGGGCAGATTAGGCCTGTAATAAACAACAACTAATGTAAATCGAACTCATTCTGGTGATGGTATTTAACACTTTAAATAAAACATTTTCTTTACAGACTTGTGTGCAGTGCTTTGTTGCTTCTCTCTCAGATGGTCAGCATCATCCTTCGGTGGAGTTCATGGCAGACAGCACATAAGCAAGCTCTTCGCGTAACAGTGCTGCAAGTGAAATGCCATTTTTAAGGCAATATGTTCACTGGCAGAGGTTTTCAGACCATGTGTCTGCAGAGGCTGGGGAGCAATGGGAGGCTGGGTCTGCCTGTCCCCCAGCCAGGCATCAGGCTCTGCACTCTGGCCGTGCTGAAACAGGCACGCAGCCTCAGGGCTGAAGCTGGCTCTAAGGACATGCTCAAACTCTGATATAACCAGCACACTAAATGTGCTGCAACTGTGAAGTGCTACCACCAGCTCTGCCATCCAGTTAGATGTCCAGAACATAAATTTGTAAGCTTCCACCCCATCCCATGGATACCACCTAGTATTAGCAGCCTGGTTTTTAATGAGCTAGGCACAAATGAGGACAGAGTACCCAGCTGGAATTGGTGGCTGCTGGGGCTCATGCATGCTATGCAGCAGAGAGTGGTCAATGGTCTGTGGTAAAATGCTGTGTCACTCTAATTGTGGGGCTTTTCTTCATGCCTCTTCTGCAAGGCATCAAGGCTTAACTAATGAGATGCTCTTGCCATGATGAGGGTGAGTGTGTGGGGCCATCACATGCTAACCAGCACACCACTGCATTCTTGCAGCCTGCCGCTACTGTCAGATAGTTGTTCACAACTGTGAAACTAATTAAAATGTTTTTTTTTTTTATATAGAAAGCTAAATACCAATGCTTTCATATGACATAAAAGTTAACAAAGCATTAGATTTCACAGCTTCATAACAAAGTTAGGTAATGCTGTGGGGGAGTCTAGAGCGATTTGTATTTGTTTCTTTAGCTCATATGTCTCTGCAATTCTCCCTGTCACCCAAGCAGCAAAGAGCAGACACCAAAGCTGTAGGTCTCATAATCTTCCAACTGTGACTACCCTTTCTGTCTCTTTCTGGGTAAATATTTACAGTGAGCTTTTACCAGCTATGCAAGAAAGAAGATGCACATTTTTCCTGGCAAGAACAGCCCACATTTAGGACAGATTAATGAAAGCTAGCTTTAGCTGGCACAAATGAAGCTCTAGGCTACTAATACCAAAGATAAACTAATTTCAGGAATTATTGTCTTCATAGCTGCCTATTTTAGATATCTTTTTTGGATGAGATGAAACTGTGGGAGAATCAGATTCTCTCTCCCTGCTGACCATAGAGGCAGAAAGTGATGACTGCCTTGGGTTGAATGTCTAACTTCACAGCAGCTAAGCTTAGGAGAAGCAGACCCATTCTCGACAGGAGAATAAGAACAGAAACTCCATGGTCCTTCATTAGCAAGTCCTATCTGATGTGCTTGTATAATTATCAGGTCTGAGGGCAGCACTTAGCTGATGACTGATGAAGGAGGAAATGGCTGGGAATTAATTTCCCAAATCTGACACTGCCATGTCAGTTCATTCCTCAGCCTAGCCCTGGGGAGAAAGAGTAGCAGCCATACTAATTAAACCATAGGGCATTAATGCCCCAAAATATGTTTGACATGAGGTCACACAGAAAGAAAAAGCATCCTAGATGTGCAGAAAGAGCATGACATAGGACTAAGAAAAAGTTTGTCATAAAAGCCTGTCCTATGTGACTGTTCCTGCAATTAAGAAAAGTTTATTAAGTGCCATCCAAAATGTAGGTATTGCTGAACTAGTGTTGACATGAAGACAGAATGGGTGATTGACACTGGACCTGGATGACATTAGCTTTATGGGCATTGAGGTTTAGGATACCTCAGTGAGGTGGGAGCAAGTTTGCACTGATAGACTATTTTGAGGATAAAACACAAGAGCAGTAGCTGAGTTTGCTTGGCTTGTTCAGATTGGAGAAAAGAAGGCTTTGTAGTCTACAACTTCCTTAAGGGAGGCCGCAGGGGGGTAGTTGCTGATCTCTGGGTGACCATTGATAGGACATGAGGAAATGAAGCTGCATTGAGGGAAGTTCAAATTAAGCATTAGGAAAAGGTTCTTTGCTGAGAGGGTGGTTGGTCACTATAATAAGCTCCCCAGGTAAGTGGTTATGGCACCAAGTCAGGGTCCAAGGAGCATCTGGACAATGCTCTTAGTCTTATGGTTTAGTTTTAGGTAGGGAACTGAAGTTGATGCTTCATATGGGTCCCTTCCAACTCAAGATACTCTATTATTCTAAGATTTCTCTGGAAAGCTGTTAGCAGGTCTAGTGTAAGAATTGTTAGCCAAAGTCTTTCTGTCTAGATGCAGTTTTGGTAAGGTAGAGATCAATGGTTTAAAGTTGATACTGGTACTAAGGTAACACCACTCACTGAAATGAAAACAAAATAAAATGCCAACACTTACTAGGCCAAAACTCAAGCGGTAGGTCCTGCTATGCAAATAGTGCATCTGATGCATGAAGAAAAGACCAGTACTACACTTGCCTGTGCATGTCAACATAGTTTGAATGCTAGTAGGGGCCAAAATTATTATCCCCTTGATGAGAATAAAAAGCGGATTTAGAGAAGACTGAGGGATGAAGCAGGCATGTGAAATTATTAAAGTAACAATGGGCAGATATTTTATTGATCCCCTGTTTTGTTTTGGTTAATTAGCACTTTAGCTGCAGCATTCTGGCAGACAGCTCCCTGAAGATGAGGAAGAGTCACTTACACTGAGAATGCTCCTGCATGGGAAGCAACTCAGTTAAGATACTTGGGGACATTTCAAGTACCTTCTTGCAGTCTACTACACACTGGAAATGACACAAAAATTTTCCTTATGCAGCAGTTTCTCAGTCCATATTCTGATTCCATACCAACTTCCAAGCTGTGATTTTCCATTTCAGAATCTGAACTCAAGACCTGCTTATTCTCAGATCTGCTAGCTTAGACTTTCAGAAGCCTTAGCTACCATCTGCCACATGCCTGAGGCATCAGTACACATATTTTGACAGCCACATGCATGAATAAATGAGCCCAACTACCTGGATGTCAACAGCTCTGGTTGCCTAGGAGCAGCCCTGCTTAGTATGGCACTTTGTCAATAGGTAACTTTATTCTTCACTAGCAAACATACAAGTGTTGGAGAAAAGACATTTTTTAGACGTCCTGATGCACTTTGGCCATTGGAAAAAAAAGTGAGAGTTAAGAAATGTACATCTCAGGGTGAGCCAAGAAGTGTTTGGGTCATATGAAAGGAACCAGAATACCAAATCAGCTAAAAAGCAGCTGCATCTTTAATCTGTCTTCTAAACACAAGCCAGGTGCTAGACAAGAAAATGTTGAGTGTAGATACAGAGGTGGTGTGCTCCTGATAGCACCTGAAAGAACCTTAAACCAAAAAAAAAAATAACAAAACAAACCCCTGTTGGCAAAGCTCTCAACTCTGAAAGTTTCAGTAAGATATAAAAGATAGAAAGATAAACATTAGAATCCCCATTAACAACATTCCATCCTAATCCAAGATTTCTTGGGTTTAGTTAGCATAGCGAAGTATCAGTAAAGATCACAGTATCTGTATAGCTGTAGGGCTAGTTTTCTTTAGTTGCACTAAAGTTTAGGTGACTAAGAACATATTTTTATATGGTAATTGTTTTCATTACCTGATTAGGCATAGTTTTTACTTCCTTGTTTTCTTTCAGAATGATCTGCAAACTGAGAGCAGGACCAAGCTGACTCCCTGTGACCTTTCCGCATCTAATGTGTGTCTGGTTTATACTTAAAATGTGAGCAGATGCCTTAAGCAACAGATTCAAAATAATGGCATATAGTTTTCTCTGTCCCTCACTCAGCAGCTTTGCTTTCTTAACCAGTGTTGATTAACAAACTCCATTGTGACAGCTGGGTGTCAATGCAGTTCAGCAAGCCACACTTACAGCCAGAGATGGATACTCAGGCTGTATTTAGACATCTAATTTAGGTGAAACTCAAAGGGCCAAAATTAAGAGCCTATTTAATTGCACTCAGTGGAAAGAGACAGCAGGTCCTCCAGAGTAATACTAATTTAGGATCCTCCGGTAAGCTGTTTTGAGCACCCTTCACTATCAGCTGCATAGGAGGCATAAGGCAGTTACAGCTTCCAAGGCAGCCCATGCAAATAGCTCCCGAAACAACAGTGCCACTTCTGAAGAAGAAGAAGAAGAAAAGAAGAAGAAAAGAAGAAGAAGAAGAGGAAGAAGAAGAAGAAAAAGGAAGAAGGCAAAGAAAGAAGAAGAAGGAAGAAGAAGAAGAAAAGAAGAAGAAAGAAGAACAGCATCAACAATGACAATTAGAAGAAGGGAAATAACAAGGAGAGAGAAAAAACTAAAAGGGGATAGGGAACCGAAACCCCCACAATAAACACAAGTGATGCAAAACACAATTGCTCACCACATGCCAATTGATGCCTATACCACCCCTGAGCAGCAATCAGTCCCTTCTGTGTAACTCCCCCCAAGTTACATACTAAACATGATGTTCTGTTGTATGGAACGCCCCTGTGGCTATTTCGGTTCAGGTGTCCTGTCTCTGCTTCCTCCTGGCTTCTTTTCTCCCTCCTCACTGGCAGGGCATTAGGGACTGAAAAGTCCTTGATCAGGGTAAGCATTACTTAGCAACAACTAAAACGTTGGTATTATGTTATGCTGTGTTACCAGTATTACTCTCAGACTAAAGACAAAACACAGCACTGCACCAGAAAGAAAATTAACTCTATCCCAGCGGAAACCAGGACAGTAATAGCACAGTATGCTTCATACAAGCCAGGGCTTCAGGGTATCGCCTGTTCTTGCTTACAAATGCAGCCTGACCACCTTTGCATGCAAGGATGCAGAGCCAGATGGGAACTCAAGTGGATGAGCAAAGGCTAGATCTGTCCTTTCCAAACTGGCAACACAGCATCTTTCTTGCCAGGTTTGAAGCCTGTTCCTTTACTCCATGTGGTCTTCAATAAATGCTTAAATAAATGCAGATCTGTTAAGGGAGAAATACTGAAG